GTCCCCAAGGAAACTTACCATCGGCCCCTCGACGGTCCAGGGGCTACAGGCGAACATCCTCAAGTTTCGTGGTCCACGCAGCAAGCGCAACGGTGACCTTTGGGCGCTTGAGTCTCTTAGTGGCTGAGGGAGCACACTTTTACACGTTGAGGGATGCTTATACTCCCCTGTAGAACTGAACGTGTACACTTTTCCGGGGGGGGGGGGGGGGGGGGCTTGTGAAGTCAGCAGCTAAGGCCTCCGCAGGTGCCTGCGACCCTTGAGCCATCGAAGCAAGTGGTGCAGGCCCAACGTACTGGCGCCGCAGCCTTGCGGAAGGCTAGGGCCATGATGCCTGCAGTGAATATGCAGCCTCGGTTCTCCCCTTAGCTCCGAAGTCGCTTGTGGTGGCTTTTGATGGGGGGAGGTCCGAGGTCCTTAGGCCCCAGCCACTGAAAGTATCCTTCAAAGCACCGGTCGAACTTCGAAACCCTAAACCCTAAGCCCTGAACCCTTCTTAAAAGAAGCCCGACAAAGATGTGGCTTGCTGAAGAGATTCGCAGAACTTCCCCGCAGAACCTTTTCTGGAATGAGATCAGATGTCGGATAGACTGCAGGTCTTTGATTTCAAGGGGCAAAAGGAGGGACACTTATACAGGACCTTAGGGGTTGCTCAGTGGTTCTTTGGGAGCTACTAAGGTATACAGGGACTACTTATAAGGTGTATATATATTTATATATATGTAGGGGTTACATAGGGGAACAACCCTAAACCCTAAACCCTAAACCCTAAACGGGTCCCTTCCAGAGGTCCCTCCTTTTACTCCTCAAGATTTGGACGATCGCTGAGTCAGTGGAGGGCATCTACATACTTTGCTGGAGTCGGTTCGAGAGCCCCCTAAAGCCTAAACCCTAAACCCTTAACCCTAAACCCTAAACCCTGAACCCTACACCCTACACCCTAAACCCTGAACCCTGAACCCTGAACCCTGAACCCTGAACCCTGAACCCTAAGCTACGTTTACCGCTGGGCCGACTGTGCAGTACAACTCTGTTGGTTTCAGAAATCAGCGTCAGCAAAACTCCAACTAGCCAGTCATACATACACATATATGATATATGCTTTGTGGTGCTTTACTGTAACTTTGCATCTTTAACCTTTTTGGGTTTATTGGGTTTCTCAAGAAGGCAGCTAAAAATTAAGTTTATAGCTACCCTGCTAAGAGCAGCCAAGTATGGGGCTGGGACCTTTAGGGTCTCAGTTCGAAGACGCACACCTAACAAATTCAATGCAAACTCTGCTATTCATGTTTCTACTTTCTTTAGCTGAGCCTGTCAATAAAACATCTGCGTACGCTCATGCCCTTGCAAAGCAATAAACTGACACTCTAGTCGGAAAGAAAACGTTGAGTCCTGCTTTTGCAGACACCTGTAAGCAAAAATCCGGACCATTTTATAGCAATTGCAGATACTAAGCAATCAAGGATTATTATTCACGAAATCTTCACATTCATTTGCATGACGCGCTTCATGCAGATCATCCCTGTTGTGCCCTGCATCTGTTTGAAGTAAACACACATTCATATTTGTATTGGCTATGAACTCGAATAGCTTCAATACCACATCCCTGAGTCACGCCGAGAAAGAATCTGAAAGAAACACCTGCAGTCATTTAAGACCCTAAACCCTAAACCCTAAACCCTAAGACGCTGCTCGCTCGGAAACCAACGGGCTGGGTAGAAGCATCGGCAGATGCCAACGTGCGTTTGCCGCTGCAACCCGAGTCGCAATAATGTGGCTTTTGACTAGGGGCGGGAAGGCCCGGCTCAAGCAAGTTTAGGGTTTAGGGTTTAGGGTTTAGGGTCTAGGGTTTAGGGTTTAGGGTTTAAGGGGTATGGCCTGCCCCCCAATCAACTGCCACCACCATCAATGGCTTCGACCTCCGAGGCTGTAGAGTTTTGCAGTTCCCCCCCGGCGCGCGAGCCCGAAAATGAAGCCCCAAGCTTCTGGTTTAGGGTTTAGGGTTTAGGGTTTAGGGTTTAGGGTTTAGGGCTTAGGCACCGGGGATACTGCAAGACACCGCTCGCTCTGAACCTGACGGGCTTGGTACAAAGAGGCAGGAGCCTTGGGGACGAAATGAGAAATTGGGGTCATATACCCGATACTACTGTAATCCCTACGAATAGGCATACCCTAAACCCTAAACCCTAAACCCCAAACCCCAAACCCTAAACCCTTTTAGGGTCCGCTTCGTCGCCAAGGCAGGAGATGCCAGCGTGGCCTTGCTTCTGTATCCCGAATCAGGTGACTGTCAATGAGGGCGGGACACGTTCCACGCGACCATCTGAACCCAACAAGCTTAGGGGTTTAGGGTTTAAGGTTTAGGGTTTAGGGTTTTCTTAGTAGCTGAGTGAGCACACTTTGCAGCTTTTGGGAGACTAGAATCCCCTATAGAACTGAAAGTGTACACCTTTTTTGGTCAGCACCTAAGAAGGGGTTTACGGCTCAAATAGCCCTAGCAGGATTCATAGTACTATAGGGTATATGACCCCGAAACCCTCAACCCTAAACCCTAAACCCTAATCCCTAATCCCTAAACCCTAAACCCTAAACCCTAAACCCTAAACCCTAAACCCTAAACCCTAAACCCTAAACCCTTACCCTAAACCCTAAACCCTAAACCCCAATTACAGTCGTAGAGGGTAGAATGACCCGAAGTGTAGGGTTCATTTGGTCCGCAAGGCAGGACTTCGTATACTGCAGAGCGTAGCGGAGGCCGCAGACTCCCATTTAAGGTGGTCCCAGTCGAGGTGTGGTGTGGCGCGCGAAAGCCAGTCTGAAATCGGGGAGGTACTTGTTAGGGTTTATAGGGTTTAGGGTTTAGGGTTTAGGGTTCAGGGTTCAGGAAAAAATCGTATTCAGTCCCTAGACTGGGTTTCGGGTGCAGACCTCGACCCTATACCGACGAATGCGTCGGCACCAGTTCTGATACCCTAAACCCTGCTAAGCCCGACTGCATCTTCCTACGGGGATCAGGCACCGGAACGTTCGCTTGGAAATTGTCCCCCTGGCTTTTTGGGAATGGGGGGCTCTATATATATATATACATACCCTTTAGAGAATTTCATAAGGTACCTCATTCCCTCATTCTCTACTAAGAACTCGCTGGTAAGGTTGGCACAACATCCTAGACATCCAGCCAGCAAGCGAGTGCACCATGCGGGGGTGCAACCTGCGGTAACGTTGGTGCTGAATGCCTGTGGGCTGTCAGGGGGCATGCAGAGACCGTCGCATGAGGTGACGGCGCGTTTGGCTGGTGACGGCGTTGCTCCGTTCCAGCTTCTCTGGGCTCATAAGGTTAAGAGTTTCCAGCTGCTGCGGGCTGGGGCGGGCGTTATACCCTGGGCGTGGGAGGGGTAAGAGCGGGACAAGGTGGGCCAAGGGGCACAGGGTCGTTGTCTTTTTCGCCGTCCTGCTGACACTCAGCCCCAAACCTCATGCCCTGTAAACCCTAACCCTATATACCCGAGCACTCGTCGAAAGTCCATCTGAAGCTGAAAGTAAAGCCTCTGTGTATCAGATCGGGTCTCCAAACCTCCCCTCAAAGGGATCCTAAGCCCTAAACCCGATACCCCTCAAAAAAACAAACAAAAAATCGGTTTTCAACTCTAACGCTATCCCTTTTTGGGGGGGACAAGTTGAGGCTTCGGGGCTTTAGGCCTGCAGGCTAGCCTAGCCCTAAACCACGGCTGGTCTTAGGGTGTACAGTTTTCAAGGGCCTGAGAAGCTTGCACGTTGACACCACAGGAGCCAGACTTGCCATTTTCCCCGGTGTCGGGCTTTTGGAGCTATGCGCACGGCGAGTGGTGCGAAGACATATCACGGAAAGCAAATCGTATATTCCACTTGAGTCACTGGACACTGGGGGTCCTCCTTCCCTTCGTTCCTTTCAGGGCTTAGGTTTAGAGGTTTAGGGGTTTATGGTTCACATATTATACCTACCGTAGTAGGCATTCTAGCAGTATAGAATTTTAGGGTTCATCTGGTTCCCGAGGTTTAGAGCTGCGATGGATCCCACTTCGCACGAACAGCTTCGATGCTCGTGAGGCTTCGACCTCGAAGGAAGTGCCGACACAAGACCAGGTGAGCGACAGCCAGTGCTTCAGAGAAATGGAACGCACAGATGACCCAGACGGCCAGGGGTTTAGGGTTTAGGGCTAGGGTTTAGGGTTTAGGGCTAGGGTTTAGGGTTTAGGGTTCAGGGTTTGAGGGCTTGAGGTGTATCGTTGTGTGGCATTGTACCCCGTCAGGCATCCCGCGGAGCGCCCAAGAGCCCTAAACGCCACGGCTCCCAGACACTTTCCGAAACCCTAAACCCTAAACCCTAAACCCTACACCTTCAGAACCTACCTACATATATATATATATGTATATATACACATATACATATATATATATACATACATACATACATATATACTGTTGTACACACACTCTACTTAAGCCCCTGAACCTCAACCCGAAACCCCGAGGCCCCCAAAGGCTTCCCTCGACCTGAGGGTGTCCCCTCCAGACCCCCAAACCCCCAAACCCTAGACCCTAAACCCGAAACCCTAAACCCCAGCCCCAAACCCCAAACCCTAAACCCTAGCCCTAAACCCTAGCCCTAAACCCTAAACCTTAAAACCCTAAAGCCCTGGCGCTTCCACCGCAGGTCTTTGCTGCAATGCGCTCTGTCCTCAAGAGAGGCACCCTGGAGTCGACTTTTGCCGGGTTTAGGGTTTAGGGTTTAGGGTTTAGGGTTTAGGGTTTAGGGTTTAGGGTTTAGGGTTGAGGGCTATAGGGTTTAGGGTGTTTGGTTTGGGGTTTAGGGTTTCGGGTTTCGGGTTTCGGGTTTCGGGTTTAGGGTTATAGGGTTTAGGGTTTAGGGTTTTGGGTTTTGGGTTTTGGTTTAGGGTTTCGGGTGTTGGGTTTAGGGTTTAGGGTTTTGGTTTAGGGTTTCGGGTTTAGGGTTTAGGGTTATAGGGTTTAGGGTTTAGGGTTTGGGGTTAAGGGGGTAGGGTTTACGGCTTCGCGTTTAGGGTTTCGGATTTAGGGTTTAGGGTTTCAGGACCAGGGTTTAGGGCTTCGGGTGTAGGGTTTAGGGGGTTAGAGGTTTCGGGATTAGGGTTCAGGGGTTTGGGGCTGTAGGGTTCAGGTTGTTAATCCTCTACCCGAAAAATACTCATTCACCCCGCCCGAACCAAAATATCTATCGCAAATCAAAAGAAAGCACGTCATTTAGGCGAGTTTGTGCTTGTAAAGTTATAAAGGTCTTTTGATATTTGGGTCAGACTGTCCTACCTGTAGCCTGCACCCGAAATGCCAAGCTCCAAACCCTAAACCCTGCTTAGTTAGCCATGGGTTTAGGGTTTGGGTTTTCGGGTGTGGGGTTTCGTTATTGTTACAAGTATATAAGCCATGACAAGGGGATCTCCTCTAGGACCTTTCAAACTCGACCCTCAACCCTAAACCCTAAACCCCAAACCCCTCAACCTATGCGACGATTGCCTACTTCACTCAGAAACTCGCCCATTTACACGCTTACCCCCAAGCTCTACAGCCCTAAACCCTAAACCCGAAACCCTAAACCCTAACCCCCTGAACAACTGAGGCCTCCTACATGACCATCCAGAGTTCAAGCTTCAAGGACCCTTGCGGACCAAATGAACCCTCAAAGGGTTTAGGGTTTAGGGACCAAATGAGCCCTCAAAGGGTTTAGGGTTTAGGGTATAGGGTTTAGGGGCTTTCGTAGTTTATGTTTCATATAGCCCTCATAGGGATGATCGTAACATAGGGTATATGACCCCTTAAACCCTAAACCTAAACCCTAAACCCTAATTATCGTAGTAGTTTAGAATATACTGACCCCCAATTTGAGGGTATACTGACCCCCAATTTTTAGGCTTAATGTGGTCCCCCAGGGAGCTGCCCGGACCCCTGGGTGTTGCGCGCTTGAGCCTTGGGGCTTAGGGACATGAGAGCTAAGTTCGTGGCCTGTAGTGGTGGAATCCTCAACCTTCAGCCCTAAACCCTAGCCCTAAACCCTATAGCCCTAAACCCTGGCCCTAAATCCTAGCCCTAAACCCCAAATCCTTAAAAATGGAGGGCCCTGAACCCAAAGCTTCCCCACCCCAGCCCTTTAGGGTCTAGGGTTGAGGGTTTAGGGTTGAGGGTTTAGGGTTTAGGGTTTAGGGCTCAAGCCCCAAAGCAAGAACCAGGCCGCCAACGTGCTGTCTGATCAGATTTCAGGTTGCATTGCCAGCCTTCATACATCCTAGGGCCCGGAGAAGGCCCGTATTCCCTGCGGTTTAGGGTTTCAGGTTTGGGGTTTAGGGTGTAGGGTTTAGGGTTTAGGGCCGTTTAGGGTTTGGGGTCCATCCTCAACCCTAAACCCGAAACCCTAAACCCTAAACGCCCCAAAAGCCAGGATACCTTGACCAGGCCTGGGTCGATCTTTTCTTCCGCCCCCCGGATCGCAGAGCTTTTCGGTTTGGAGGGGCTCTACAGGGTTTTACGGTTTAGGGTTTAGGGTTTGGGGTTTAGGGTTTAGGGTTTAGGGTTCAGGGTTTAGGGTTTAGGTCACGGGTGTTTCAGGGTTTCAAGGGGTTTGTTTTGGTTTATAGGGGGTCTATTGTTTTTTGAGGTTTACTTGAAAGGGTTTAGGGCTCCAGGGATTTCGGGTGTTTTGTTTTGTTATAGGGCTCTAAGGGAGGTGGTCCAAGGGGGGTATGTAACCCAAGGTATCCCAATACTCCCCACCACTCCCCAAAACTCCCTAAGTTTCTCTAAAGTTTCCCAGGTACCGACCCCCCCATGAACCCCCCCCCGCCCCCTCCCTGAAGAAACCTTTGCTTCTGGGTGGAGAGGGGGGATCAGGGCTACCCAAAATCATTAAATATTCAGCTCCAAAACCCTAAACCATTTAGAGTTACAGCATTGGGGGTTGTTCGGTTTCAGGGGTTTCAGAGTTTTCGGGTTTAGGTGAGGAAGACCCCAAATCCCAAAGCCCTCACCCGAAAGCTAAACCCTTCAGGGTTTATAAGATGCTTTGCATCAACCTGCTCCTTCAGAAGCACTAACCCCTAAGCCCCAAACCCCAAACCCTAAACCCGAAACCCCAAACCCTAAACCCTAATACCCTAATACCCTAATACCCTAAACCCTAAACCCTATACCCTAAACCCTAAACCCTAAACCCTAAACCCTAAACCCTAAACCCTAAACCCTAAACCCCAACCCAAAACACTACACCAAAGAAGTGCTTGATCAAGCACCTGCAGGCTTTAGAGACCCCCCCCCCGCCCCGGAAGCGAAGCGGGTGGGCCTCCTCCGGGTTTCTCCTGGGAGACCGTAAACCCTAAGCCCTAAGCCCCAAGCCCTAAACCCTAAACCCTAAACCCTAAACCCTAAACCCTCCGAAAGTGCTGCATTTGCAGCAGTGGCAGTGCAGCCTTTTCCTTTGCCGACGGATGCGTTCTCCTGGTCCGCCTCCGACATGGCCGATGCGGCCGTTTGTACGGCCTGTGGCGCGAGTTTAGGGTTTAGGGAGTTTAGGGTTTAGGGTTTAGGGTTTAGGGTTTAGGGATATACTTCCCCGAAAGCCCCCATAGCTTAAACTCTAAGCCTTCAATGCCATTTCGTTTGACATTTGGCTATGCCCATAAGCCCCAACGACCCACACAACCTCAAACCTCAAACCCGAAACCCGAAACCCTAAACCCTAAACCCTAAACCCTAAACCCACCTTGCAGTGCCTAGAGGCTATGCCACGCGCAGGGCTCGTGGCGGCCTGGTGCGTTGGCGCAAAGTGCAAGCAGGCCCAGCGCCCCAATTGTTCAGGGGTTGTAAGAGTTTAGGGTTCAGGGTTTGGGATTTAGGGTTTAGGTGTTAGGGTGATTTAAATTGGGGGGCTTAGGATGGTTTTGGACTTGTCTTGCAGAGCCCCGTACCCCCTATTGAAGGTGCACATGCCTTTGATCCGGAATCAAGAACCCTAAGCCCTAAACCCTGAACCCTCTTTGCAGTTCTTTTAGGTCTTCTCCCTTAGCTGGGCTTGGCATGCCTCTCCTTGTGTTCAGGGTTTAGGATTTAGGGGTTCTGGGGTTTAGGGCCTAGAGATCCGAAAGTGCCGGTTTGAGATAGTTGCGGTGCCTCTCCTCCAAAAACGTACCTCCGGGTCATTCTTGAAATGTGCCTGCCGGGCGGATAGGTAAGCCTGGAAACCCTAAGCCCCAAACCCCAAACTAATCCTGACAACCCTCAAAAAACCTCAAGCCCTAAACCCTCAACCCCTAAACCCTAAACCCTAAACCCTAAACCCTAAACCTCAAATGAACCCTTAAAAACCGGAGTTCAAGAGGATGCTGACCCTCGCGCTGGGGCTACTAGCTGATGAGGCTCCATGAAGCCTCATGGGCTTGGGGACTACACGTGCATATAGGGCCTTGATAGTAGGGTTTGGGGTAAGGGTTTGGGGTAAGGGTTTGGGGTTTGGGGTTTGGGGTTTGGGGTTTAGGGATTAGGGTTTAGGATTTAGGGTTTAGGGTTTAGGGTTTAGGGTTTCGGGTTTCGGGTTTCGGGTTTAGGATGGGAGGTGGAGGCCTCTAGCTTGGAGTTTTTGGGATGTCCGTGTCGTGCGCGAGGACCCCGCAACCTGTCCGTGACTGAAGCGTCGCACTCAGCGCTCGCCCACTGCCAGGTTGAGGGTTTAGGGTTTAGGGTTTAGGGTTTAGGGTTTAGGGTTTAGGGTTTAGGGTCCAGGGTCCCAGAGACTCCAATACCCCTGAATTTAAGGAATATGCCTTAAACAATAGAAGGACCCCTAGTGGAGACTCTGAGTATGTACCTACAATTTCATCTGCTGGATTGGGTGGGTGTAGGGTGGTGTTTCATCTGCCGGATTGGGTGGGTGTAGGGTGGTTACAAAACTGAAGCAGAATAAAGTTTAAGTAGGGCTTCCCTAATGCCTAATTCTGAGTATATGGGACACAGTAGTGTGCTCGACACTGGCAGCTTACCGGTACTCCCACAAGGCTTTCGAAGGTCAAAGTTGTCCATAAGCCCTAAAGGGTTTAGGGTTTAGGGTTAAGGGTTTAGGATTTAGGGTTTAGGGTTTAGGGTTTAGGGCCAGAGGGCCAGAGGGCCCAACACCCCTGAATTCAGGAATGCACGAGTTCATAAGAATCCTAAACCTTAAACCCGATTTTGCATCCCCCAGGCCCCCTGGGCCACCCCCCCCGTCCCACCCCAACCGTAAAACCCTACATCCTACACCCTCAGCCCTAACCCTAAACGTTCACTCTAAACCCTAAATTGGGTCATGAGCAGCAAGTTTGTAATAGCTGACGCTTTGTTGACTGTGAACCCGCACGGGCACGGTAAGCCTTGTAGGGCTTAGGCTTCAGAGGTTTAGAGTTTAGGGTTTAGTGTTTGGTGTTAAGCGTTAGTACTGGGCTTGGGTCCCCTGATCCTAGAACCGTCCTGCAAAAGGCACGACCCTGAAGCTTCAAGCTAACCCTAAACCCCTTAAACCCCCTAAACCTTTGATTCCCCTTAACCCGAAACCCTAGACCCTGAACCCTAAACCCTAAACCCAACCAACACCTAAACCCTTGAGACCCTAAGCCCAAACCCCTCCCTCCCCCCTCCCCCGGATACTTTGTCCCTAAACCCTAAACCCTAAACCCCAAAACGCCAGCCGAGGTCTGTCCACCTCCCGCTGATGCCGAGGCGCCTCGGGAGGCGCTGGTCGGGGGGTTTGGGGAGGTTCTTAGGGTTTAGGGTTTATAGGGTTTATAGGGTGTATAGGTGTTATAGGGTTTACAGGGTTTATGGAGTTTAGGGTTTAGGGTTTAGGGTTTGAGCTGTTAGGGTTTAGGGTTTAGGTCTCTTAGGGGTTCTCAGGTTTCTAGGGGTTCTTAGGGTTCTTAGGGTTCTTAGGGTTCTTAGGGTTCTTAGGGTTCTCAGGGTTCTCAGGGTTCTCAGGGTTTAGGGTTTCTTAGGGTTCAGGTTTCTTAGGGTTCTTAGTTTTCTTAGGGTTCTTAGGGCTCTTAGGGTTCTTAGGGTTCTTCGGGTTCTAGGGTTTTCAGGGTTCATAGGGTTTAGGGGTTGGGGTTTAGCCGTGGGGACCAAACATGAACCCTACCCTAGGCTCTAAACCCTAGCCCACTCAGCATCATCATAACCCGTATAGACCTTTCTAAAACCAAAACTCCCAATTCAGTCCCTCATCTCAACCTCCCCTAGAAACACCTAACCACCCCCTCACCAAAAAAAGACAAAACCTCGTGACAAACCCCTCAGCCCCAAACCCTAAACCCTAAACCCTAAACCCCAAACCCTCAACCTCCAGCAGGTCCAGGAAAGTCCGGTGTCACAACTGCCTGGCGCTGGCGAACTCCAGCTGAACGTGGCGGGTCCCAGCACATGCACGGTGGGGTTTGGCCATGAACCTCCCCCAAAACCCTGAACCCTGAACCCTAAAACCTAAACCCTAAACCCTGAACCCTGAACCCTGAACCCTGAATCCTGAACCCCAAACCCAATCCCGAGGTTTGTATGCTGGACCCTGGAAGCAACTTCTTGGTCTCCTTCAACGCCATGACTCTGGGCTTTAAAGGGTTTAGGGCTTAGGGTTTAGGGTTTAGGGTTTATGCTTTAGGGGGCGTGCGTTTGCAGGTTTGGGCTTAAGGCTTAGGACCCGCGCATTGCGGGTTTTCTGGTTAAGATGTGTAGGGTTAAGGTTAACCCACCCAAACCCCTAAGCCCCAAACCCCTAAACCCCAAACCCCTGAACCCCAAACCCTAAACCCGAAACCTTCTGAAACCCTTATCTTGGTAGCCCAGTGGCCCTTTTCCCTTTTTTTGGTTCAAGGTTCCCTTATAAAACAACCAACCCCAAACAAGGGTGCCCTTATTTTCAGACGTGTACTGGGTTCCCAAGGAGTTTAGCGTTTCGGACTCTCAAACCGAAACCCTAAACCTGAAACGCCTGAAGCCGTCATAGCATCATATGGACCTCACTGAGCTCTCATACCCCCAACTTGACGTTCCTAAACCCTAAACCCTAAACCCTAAACCCTAAGGGTCCCTTCTAGGGGTCCCTCCTTGTACCCCTTCAGGCTGAGCTTGCCAGTCCCCACCAGGCACATTGAGTCCTGGGCCTTGGATGTTGAGGGTATGGTTTAGGGTTTAGGATTTAGGGTTTAGGGTTTAGGGTTTAGGGTTCAGGGTTCAGGGTTCAGGGTTTAGGGTTTAGGGTTTGGGGTTTGGGGTTTGGGGTTTAGGTTCAGGGTTTCGGGTTTAGAGTTTAGGGTTTAGGTTTTAGGGTTTAGGGTTTAGGGTCTCATGCTCTCTTGAATATACCTCAACACGCCCCTCCTCTCGAGGAACAGTTGCGGCGACGAGGTCCTCGAGTTTTGCCATGCCGGGCTGGTAGCCCCCAAGAAGAGGGGGATTCATGTGCCCCTTGGACAGCATTGCGGCAGAAGCATTAGGTTTAGGGGTCGGTTAGGGGTTTGAGGTCTAGGGTTTAGGGTTTAGGGATACTGGTACTTGAGCCTACAAGCCCTGTCATTCCTAGAAGCCCTCAAAGCTTTTTTGGCGTACTAACCCTAAACCCTAAACCCTAAACCCAAAACCCTAAACCCTAAACCCTAAACCCTAAACCCTAAACCCTAAACCCTAAACCCTAAACCCTAAACCCTTTCGACTGCGAGGCTGCATTGGCCCGGAAGGGCCTGGAAGCCTTGGAAGCACGAGGCCAGCGTCAAGTTTCGAAGTGGTGGGTTTTAGGGTTTAGGGTTTAGGGTTTAGGGTGTAGGGTTTAGGGTTTAGGGTTTAGGGATTGGGGTTTAGGGTTTAGGGTTTAGGGTTTAGGTTGGGAAGCCCTCGGAATGCTTAAGATAAGTTTTAGGGGTCGGGGCCCAAAACCCACCCCCAGGTACCCCCCAGGTATCGCGGAGTGGTCGTTCAGATAGTCTTAAGCATTCCAGGGCGTAGCTGTGCAGGTGGATTTGCTGTTGCATGACGTCTCGAGAAGCTTTAGTTGGGCAAAAAACGGAGATCGAGAAGCTCAGTTGGGCAAAAACCGTCTCATAAACAGGCGATGCAACATGTCCAGGAGGTAAGTTGCCTCTGAACTGGGGAACCGTTCGGAACTGTTCGGGACTTGGGGAACTGTTCGGAACCATTCGGAACTGTTCGGGACTCGGAACAAGCATTCCAGGCCCTTTGTGGTGTGGGCATGCAGGTCCAGGGACTGTTCGGAACCGTTCAACCGTTCGGAACTCGGGACAAGCATTCCAGGCCCTTCGGTGCTGGCAACTCCGGGACGTTCGGAACCGTTCGGAACCGTTCGGAACCGTTCGGAACCGTTCGGAACCGTTCGGGACCGTTCGGGACCGTTCGGGACCGTTCGGAACCGTTCGGAACCGTTCGGAACCGTTCGGAACCGTTCGGAACCGTTCGGAACCGTTCGGAACCGTTCGGAACCGCTCGGAACCGCTCGGAACCGCTCGGAACCGTTCGGAACCGTTCGGAACCGTTCGGAACCGCTCGGAACCGCTCGGAACCGCTCGGAACCGCTCGGGACCGTTCGGGACCGTTCGGAACTGTTCGGGACCGTTCGGAACCGTTCGGAACCGTTCGGAACCGTTCGGAACCGTTCGGGACCGTTCGGGACCGTTCGGGACCGTTCGGGACCGTTCGGGACCGTTCGGGACCGTTCGGGACCGTTCGGAACCGTTCGGAACCGTTCGGAACCGTTCGGAACCGTTCGGAACCGTTCGGAACCGTTCGGAACCGTTCGGAACCGTTCGGAACCGTTCGGAACCGTTCGGAACCGTTCGGAACCTCGTGGCCGTTCGGAACCGTTCGGAACCTCGCGTTCGGAACCGTTCCGACATGTTCCGAACGATTCCGAACGATTCCGAACGGTTCCGAACGGTTCCGAACGGAAGTACGGCTTCTGAACGATCCCCCCACACCCCACCCCCCCCCACCCACCACCACACCCCCACCCCCAAACCCTAACCACCCACCCCCCATCCCCCTCCCCTCCCAACGGTTCCCAACGCTTCCGAATAGTTCCGAACGGTTCTGAAGGGTTCCGAACGGTTCCGAACGGTTCCGAACGGTTCCGAGCGGTTCCGAGCGGTTCCGAACGGTTCCGAACGGTTCCGAACGGTTCCACGGTTCCGAAACGGTTCGGTTCCGAACTTCCGATCGGTTCCGAACGGTTCCGAAGGGTTCCGAAGGGTTCCGAACGGTTCCGAACGGTTCCGAACGGTCCGAACGGTTCCGAACGGTTCTGAACGGTTGCGAACGATTGCGAACGATTCCGAACGGCCCACACCCCCCCACACCCCCCACACCCCCCCCCCCCCCCCCAACCCCCCCCCCCCACCCCCCCCCAACCCCCCCCCCACCCGCCCCCACCCTCCCCCACCCGAATATTTCTCTTCGACGCGCCCGAACGCATCTTTCTAGGGATTTGAATTCCGAATATTCCTGTCCAATGTTTCTCTTCCATGCCTCCTCGCAGCTCATCTACCACAACATTTTTTGGGATTTGTTCTCCGAAAATTCCTGTCCAATGCCCGAATCTTTCTCCCAGATGCTTCCCCGGAATGCCGCTACCGGAAAATCGTTTTGCACCCTCAAGTCATTCAGTCTTAAGCATTCCGGGGGCTCGGCAAGGTTTAGGGTTTAGGGATTGGGGTTTAGGGTTTAGGGCTTTGGGTTTGGGATTTGGGGTTGAGGGTCTACGGTACAGGGTTTAGGGTTTAGGGTTTAGGGTTTGAGGTTTAGGGTTTTTGGCTTGGGGTTTAGGGTTTGGGTTTGAGGTCTAGTTTTCATGCTACATAGGGCACAGGTTTGTATAGTTGTTTTGGTGTAGGGTTGTTTTCGTAGTTGTGGAAAATTGGCAGGTTTCAGACAGCTTGGGGGGATAGTTTTCCTGTCACCTGCAGGGTTTGGGTTGCAGCGGACATTTAGAGTTTAGGGTTTAGGGTTTAGGGTTTCGTGTTGCGGTTTTAGGTTTAGTTTTGGGTTTACAGTTTTGGGTTCAGGTACTTGGAGGGCTTGTGGGGTTTCAGGCGACTTGTCCTGTGTCAGGGCGTCTTTAGCTAGTGTTGCAAGAGTGGTGGGGAAGGTTTGCCCCATCGTCTTTGATTACTTTCCAGTCGCGGCGAACAGCAATGTGGCGTGACGCATGTCCAGAAGAATCTTGCGGAGCCACCGACTCCTGGTATAGGGTTTAGGGTTTAGGGTTTAGGGTTTAGGGTTGAGGGTAGAGGGTTGAGGGTTGAGGGTTTAGTGTCAGTGTAGGTGTTAGGAATCTGCAGAATCTTCATCCAGAAACCCTCAACCCCTCAAACTCTGAACGCTGAAGCAACACCCCAAACAGTATCAAGAACCCTGAGCCCGTAAAGCCTAAACCCCTAAACCCCTATGTTTGGGGTTTAGGGTTTAGGGTTTAGGGTTTAGGGTTTAGGGTTTAGGGTTTAGGGTTTAGGGTTTAGCCTCAACCCCTACCCCTAAAACCCTAAACAAACTCCTTGAGGCGCCATGGAGCCGCTCTTCAGCCGACGAGCTGTGGTGGAGCGTGCAGGAAAGGGTGCGGAGGTAACAAGAACGAGCAGTACTTGGTTGTGAGGGTTTGGGAGAGTTTTAGGGTTTTAGGGGTATTGGGGTCTTAGGGTGTTAGGGCTTCGCGGCTTTAGGGTTTTTTGGGTTTTTTGGGTTTTTAGGGGTTTGGGTTTTAGGGTTTTAGGGTTTTAGGGTTTTCGGGTTTTAGGGTTTTAGGGTTTTCGGGTTTTAGGGTCTTAGGGTCTCAGGGTCTTCGGGTCTTAGGGTTTTAGGGTTTTCGGGCTTTAGGGTGTAGAGCTTTAGGTGTTGAGGTTTTGGGGTTTTAGGGGGGCAGGGCCTTAGTTTTAGGGTCATAGGGTTTAGAGTTTTAGTAAGGGTTTGAGAGTGTTAGGGTTTAGGGTTCAGGTGTCTAGAGTGTAGGATTTAGGGTTTAGGGGTTAGATCCCTACCCCCCCCCCCCCGCCCACGAGCGAAAGATGCCAGGTTAGGGTCGGCGTTAAGAATCCCTAAACCCTAAACCCTAAACCCTAAACCCTAAACCCTAAACCCTAAACCCTAAACCCTAAACCCTAAACCCTAAACCCTACAGGTTTCGGGTTCAAGGGCCGCCCTGAAGACTTGCAGAAGCCAGGGGCTGGTTTGTGGCCTTGGGATGAATCCGTTGTTTAGGGTTTAGGGTTTAGGGTTTAGGGTTTAGGGTTTAGGGTTTAGGGTTTAGGGTTTAGGGTTTAGGGTTTAGGGTTTAGGGTTTAGGGGGGCTTATGAGGGTTTAGCGTTTAGGATTTCGGGCTTAGGATTTGGGGTCTTTAGGGTTTGGGGTTTACTTTGGGTTTGAGGTTTAGAGGTCGGAGTTTGGGTTTGTATGTTTGTTTAGTGATCAGGTTGGTTGAAGGTTTCGGTGGTTTAAGGTTCAGGTTTAGGTTCGTTCAAGGTTTAGGGCTTGGGTTGCGTTAGGGTCTAGAGCATAGGGTCTTTCAGCAGCTATTCACCTCAATCAGGACGCGACATTCACGGTGCGTCCTGGAGAGCCTCAAAACTCAACGTTAACCTTCCCCCAGCCCCGCACCCTATAAATTCCTCAATCCCGGTGAAGGCCACAAACCCCATAGGCCCTACATCCCATATAGACTCTACACCTTCACAAGCCTCTCTAGTGAAGCGCAGCCCAGAATCCCGCTAAGTGTCGCTGGACAAGCTCAACCCTATAAACCCCAGACCTTGCAACACTTCAACAGCCCAAGCGGTAATAAAGCCCTAAAGCCAAGGTCAGCCGTACACCCTAAAAACCCTAAGCCCTAAACCCTAAGCGCTAAACCCTAAACCTTAAACCCTAAACCCTAAACCCTAAACCCCAAACCCCAAACCCTAAACCCTAAACCCTAAAGTGCTTCCTGGAGAGCCTGTCAAAACTCAACGTTCACCTTCCCCCCGCCCTGCACCCGATGAATTCCATAATCCCGGTGAAGGCCACAAACCCCCTAAGCCCTATATGAGGTTTGGGGTTTTAGGGTTTTAGGGTTTAGGGTTTAGGGCTAGGGTTTAGGGTTCATATTTCTTACTATTAAAAAGGAACCTTATATACACTCACCAAAAACAGAAATACACACTTTCACAAGCCTCTCGTTAGGATGCCCAGTAGTACCCTTATTCACTTTTTTGGGGGGGTTTAGGTTCCCTTATAAACCCCTTTAAGCAAAAAAGGGCACCCTTTTTAAGCCTTGGTTACTGGGCAGCCTAGCTCTTCAGCCAGTGAAACGCAGCCCCGAAGCCCGCTAAGTGTCGCTGGACAAGCTCAAGCCTATAAACCCCAGACCTTGCAACACTTTAACAGCCCCAGCGGTAATAAAGCTCTACACCCACCCTCAGCCCTAAACCCTAAATAACCCTAAACCCTAAGCCCTAAGCGCTAAACCCTAAACCCTAAACCCGAAACCCTAAACCCTAAACCCTAAACCCTAAACCCTAAACCCTAAACCCTAAACCCTTCTCTCCCTTTCCCCATCCCGCTGGCGACCTTTGCGGCGCCTGTCTCGGCAATGGGCTGCTGCCAAGGCTCCAAGGCTTCCCCCGTGGAGGCTGCTGGTTGATTGTTGAGTCTATGTAGGGTTCAGGGTTTAGGGTTTAGGGTTTAGGGTTTAGGGTTTAGGGTTTAGGGTTTAGGGTTTAGGGTTTAGGGTTCAGGGTTTAGGGTTTAGGGTTTAGGGTTTAGGGTTTAGGGTTTAGGGTTTAGGGTTTAGGCCCCAGGGAGGAGACCTGGACTCCAGAGAGGTGGCGATCCTGGCAGAATCTCGTGGATGCAGAGGCTTCAGTAAACCCTAAACCCTAAACCCTAAACCCTAAACCCTAAACCCTAAACCCTAAACCCCAAACCCTAAACCCTAAACAAAAAACAGGAAGAAGAGCAAAGGCCACACCCGAGTCTTGGGTCTTTGGCAGAGAATGGAGGCGATGCAGCGGGACGGCACATAAGCAGAGAGATCAGGTTTAGGGTTTAGGGTTTAGGGTTTAGGGTTTAGGGTTTAGGGTTTAGGGTTTAGGGTTTGGAGAATAATTTGCGGGGGCATCTGCGCGCTTAGCGTTTTGGGGCTTGAGGGTTCGGGGGTTGGAACTGGAGTATTTAATGTCTAGGGTTTGGGGCTTGAGGGTTCGAAGGTTTAAGGTTTAAAAGCTTAGATTGGGGCGCTCGCAAGCCGCATCTATGAGGACGACTAAGCCTAGGCCGACGGCGTCTGCAAAACCCATTACCTTCACCTCAATTCTTCAATGCAAAAAAACTGTCGGTTCCTGGGCACTTCCCAGGTTGATACAGGCATAGAAGCACCACGCAGTGGGATTGCGGGAGGTCCATATCATTGCTGACTCTAACCCCTAAACTTGAAACCTAAACCCTTAACGCTAATCTTTAAACTCTAAAGGCTCAAGTACCTCACACAACGACCCAGCTGGCCTGCCAGACTTCAGGAATCCTGCGTCCTAGGTCCTCAGGCAAACCTTCGGGCGAAGCCCTTACAGCCCCCCAAAGCCTAAACCCTTGACTCCCAAACCTAGAGTACCCTAAGCACCGGGAATAATCGGTAGTGCCGTGAAATCGGTGGCAATCTGAACTCGCCTGACACCACGGCCTGTTCTCTGTCTTCGGGACCCAGAACCCTAAACCCCAGACCCGTACCCCCAAACCCCGAGCGTCCGACCCAAGATGCTGCAAACCTACCGGAGCCAACCTCACAGGGCAATAGTTAACGGTTCGGGTAGGTTTTTTGGGCGGGGGGGGGCGGGGGTGGGGTGGGGGTGGGGGGGGGTGTGGGTGGGGGTGGGGGGGGGTGGGGTGGGGGTGGGGGGGGTTGGGGGGGGGGGGGGGGGGGGGGCGGGGGGTGGGCGGGGGGGTGGGCGGGGGGGTGGGCGGGGGGGTGGGGGGGGGGTGGGAGGCGGGGGGGTGGGGGGGCGGTGGTGGGGGGTGGGGGGGGGGGGGGGGGGGGGGGGTGGCAAAAAGTGTTTGGGTGTAGGGCTTAGGGTTTAGGAGGCGGGGGGGTCGCTTGCAGCCCCTGAAATTCTCTATGCAATAGGGAGGTCGCCAGCCTTAGCATAGGTATAAGGAGGGGAAAAAGGGTTGAGGGTTTAGGGTTTAGGGTTTAGGGTCATCCTTCACAGCCTCTGCGCTGTAGCTAGGTCACGGGCAACTTCAGCTATATCACAGCAGTTTAGAGAGGGTTTATCCAGAGCAAGGAACCCCTAAACCCCAAGCCCTAAGTCCTAAACCCTAAACCCTAAACCCTAAACCCTAAACCCTAAACCCTAAACCCTAAACCCTATACCCTACACCCTACACCCTAAACCCTAAACCCTAAACCCTAAACCCTAATAAACCCTAAACCCTAAACCCTAAACCCTAAACCCTAAACCCTAAACCCGAAGCAGCTGTTGCCAGGCCACTGGCGCCAAGCCGGTCAAAGCCTCCAAGAGCAAGGCTTCGGCTTGGCCGCAAACCTGAACCCTAAACCCTGAACCCGTTTAGGGTTTAGGGTTTAGGGTTTAGGGTTTAGGGTTTAGGGTTTAGGGTTTAGGGTTATAAACCCTAAACCCTACACCCTAAACCCTAAACCCCAAACCCTGGGGGGACCCCAAACCCCTAAACCCTGAAGGGTATCGGGCTGAGGGTTGTCGGGGTTTAGGGTTTAGGGTGACCGGGTTTTAGGGTTTGGGGTCGGTTTAGGGTTTAGGATTACCGAGGTTTAGTGTTACCGGGGTTCAAGCTTCAGGGTCACCGGGGTTCAGGGTAAAGGCGTGAGGGGGATTTGGGGTTCAGGGTTTAGGGTTTAGGGTTTAGGGTTTAGGGTTTAGGGTTTAGGGTTTAGGGTTTAGGGTGCACCGCAGCTTGTGCGCGTCGAAGGGTAGAGAACTGTGGGTTGGTGTTCGGGATTTTGGGAGATCGGTACTTCTGGGCTTAGGAATTGAGGTTGCAAAACAGGGACTTTGGAATCTCGCAGTTCAGGATTCGGGTCTAGGGTTTGGGGTTTAGCGTTTCCCTATACAGTACTAAACCCTAAACCCTAAACCCTAAACCCTGAACCCTGAATCCTAAACCCTAAACCCTGTAAACCGGCACGCCGTCCAGGCTGCAGTTCCCAAGGACGTCATTGACAAGAAGGCGCGATGCCAAACATCTGATACGTTTCAGGGGCCCTAAACTGGCCCTAAACCCTAAACCCTAAACCCTAAACTGGCCCTAAACCCTACACCTTGCGGGAACATCCCCCCCCCCCCAATACGAACAGTCCTTAATATGCGAGATTAGAGTACTGCCAATTACAATCCCTATGAAGGACTGTTAGAACATCCCAACCCTACACGTTGAACAACCAATCCTAGCACCGCCCAGAAGGCTGGGCAGAATGTGGTCGGGTCGGTGCCTTGCTTTCACCTTAGGGTTTAGGGTTTTAGGGTTTTAGGTTTATAGGGCTTAGGGTTTAGGGTGTGGGGTAATAGGTTGACTTGCGGCTTTCGGCAGGTTGGTCCAAACCCTACTAAGACTACTAAACCCTA